CCCATCAGCCAGATTTGTTGGGGACAATTAGCAAAGCCTAAGCAGTCTTTCCGTGAAGCCTCACAACTCCCTGCCTCAAGGGGCTACCAGGATGCCATGGCACTCTAGCCCGGGCAACAGAGTGAGACTCTGTCTCAAAAAAAATAAATAAATAAAATAAAATAAATAAAACAAGCCACACCTGTGGTCTTCTCTACTCATCCACCTAAAATGATTCTCCCTCCCTGAACTTCCCATCAGCCAGATTTGTTGGGGACAATTAGCAAAGCCTAAGCAGTCTTTCGTGAAGCCTCACAACTCCCTGCCTCAAGGGGCTACCAGGATGCTTTGCAATAGTAAATGATCACAGTAAGGCATAACTCACAATGGATGTAGAGCATTTCACATTTTTCCTTCTAGTCCTCTAATCATACATTACTGTTGCTCTTTACAGATGAATATTTTAATATGGTCCAGAGAGTGGGAGCCTGATCAAGGTCACAGAGTCGGAGGCAGAGCCAGGACTGGAATCCAGTCCCTGGGTTCGAATGCCACCCCTATCCTGGTGACTCTTATCTCAGGCTCAGCCCTGCCTCTAAACTTCAGACCCACATCCTCATTTGCCTTGGGATAAAACCTCCACTTGATGTCTAAGGGGCAGCTCAAACTGAACGTGGCCAAAATAGAATTTAGGATCAAGGCCGGGAGTGATGGCTCACACCTTAATCCTAGCAATTTGGGAGGCTGAGGCGGGAGGATCGCTTGAGCTCAAGAGTTTGAGACCAGCCTGAGCAACAGTGAGACCCCCATCTCTGCTAAAATAATAATAATAACAATAATAATAATTTAGGATCATTCCTGTTGATTTTAAGTTGTTGCAGTCAAAAAACTTAGATGTCCTTCATTCCTCTTCCCACATGCCCTACCTGCATCTGCCAAGCTGGTTCTGTCTGCCCTGCCTCCCAAAATACATCTCAAATCTGATCACTAATCCACACCCTAATCTAAATTCCCATCCACCCTCAACTGATCCACCAGTCACTTCCCCTCTTCAGTCCGTTCTCCAGACAGCAGCCAGAATGATGACATTAAAATGTAAATTAGATCTTGCCACATCTCTGCTTAAAACTCTTAAGTGGCTTCCTAGTGCAGTTAGAAAAAAATAAGACTCCTTGCTATAGGTCTCGAGGCCAGACCTGAGCTGATGGAGAGTCAACTATTCATAATCCACTCTACTTCTTTCCTTCAAATATCCCAGGACTGCGGCCACCTCAAGGCCTTTGCACCTTGAGGTCCAGTTTGACCCGCGACTGTTCATTCAGGTCTCTAGTCAAGTGTCAGCCACCGAGCAGCCACCCAAGTCTACAATAGCACCACCCCAGCCTCCCCAATCAACTGTCTTCCGTTTTTCAAAGCACTGTTTGCTGTACTGCATCTCCCCATCGCCCATCACAGTAGATTAAGCGCTCCATGAGAGCAGGGACTTGTTCACCGCTGGGGTGAACTTGTTCAGCGCAGTGCTCAGAGAGGCGCTCAGAAAACATTTGTTGAATGCCCCTGGTACTCCACAGCCCTTGCTAGTTCTATTCCTAAGAAGCAATGAGTAGCACAGGTCTCCCGCCTTCCAGGCCAGGGCTCTCAGCTGCGAAGCCCAAAGGTGAGAGGAGCAGGAAGCGCAGGCAGAACCGTCCCTTCCCCTGAGGCCACCTTTTCGCCACAGGCTCCAACTCTTGGCCTAGATTTGAGGCTGGCAGAGAAGACAAGGCGGAGAGACCAGCCAGGGTCCGGGGAGGCCAGATCCCCTCTATCCACTCCCTACCCCAAGAAATGGTGCTTGCCGCCACGGGGCAAATGGACTTAGAAGGAAGAGCCCAAGTCTTCCCGTGGAGGGGAAAGAAACTAGACTCGCCCCTGGACGTCCGGCCAAAGAAGATACCTGGCTCCGCCGGGCTGGATGGCTCCGGGCTCCTCCTCCGACACCCCACGTATCGCGCACGGCTTGCTGGGATTCGTAGTTCTTCTTTGGTTATCAGTCCTCTCCCCGCTTCCCAGAAAGCTTTAGGAGTCCAAGCCGAGATAGGACGGGGAGAGGTGGCGGGGCGCGAGGACTTCTGGGAGTTGTAGTTCGAAATAGTGAAACAGCCAGAAATAGGTGAAGAAAAATTAAGTAATAAATCTCATAAAATTAGTTATATGTCCTTATATGAATATTACGAGTTTTTTTCTCTGCACAAGCCAACAGTTACTTCTGCCTTTCAAAACGACGAGGGCTGAGATTCAGAGGAACTACAAATCCCATAAAGCGTTGCCCGGAGAAGGCCTTTGGAGAGCGCGGTCGGCCTCGGCGCAGGCGCGGTGGCGCGGGTTCGGCATTGAAGAAACATGGCAGGCCCGACGTTGACTGCAAGGTTGTACTCCTTGCTATTCCGCAGGACGTCCACCTTCGCCCTCACCATCGCCGTAGGCGCCCTGTTCTTCGAGCGTGCCTTCGATCAAGGGGCGGATGCGATCTACGAGCACATCAACGAGGGGGTGAGGGCCTGGGCAACTGACCTTGGGCCCGCCTGAGGGGTGACAGTGGGAGTGGAGGTGGGACGGGACTCAGTTTACCTTTACCAGGAAGGGAGTAAACTGTGGGCGTCTTTTGTCTCCAGACTGCCATCTGTCCTCTCGGCCTGGTGTGACTCCTAAAACGTTAAACGGGGTCAATAAGTCCCACTTTGCAGGGGTTGTAAGTATTGATATGTCCCACCCGACATACCCACTTGTCCATTTTGGAAGCGAAAACTAAAGGCTAACGAGAGCAAACGATTTACTAGGGCCACACAGCCAGGAAGTCAGTGGCAAATCAGGGCCGGAACACGGACGCCTGTCTGAGGGTTTCAGGGGCAGATGTGAGCAGGCAACGGACCTGAAAAAGACCTTAGACACCCTGCTGACATTTTCAGACGGCGCTTCCGATTCCCAGGGCTTCCCAGGCAAGCAGCTAGGTATTGGTGGTTACGAGTGGGTACTATGAAATCAGAGAGCCTTGGATGGGAATACTGGCCCTTGTCAGTTAATAACTGTGGCATTAAGTTGGGCAAGTTTCTTAACTTCTGAGCTTCAGTTTGTTCTGTGAAATGGAGATAACAGTAGTAACCTGAGGGAGTAATTGTGAGGATTACGAGATACAGGCAAGGTGCCTCAGTGCCTGGTAAGTGGTACCACTGAAAAATAACATTTGTTACTTTCCTCAGGAGACAGTGGAAGCATAAGGTAGGGAATAGCAACAGATTTTAGACTTACTGTCTCTCAGGCACTGTGCTAAGTACTATGTATGCTTTATGTCATTAAATTGTGGCCATACTGGGAAATGCCTTATACAGACAGCCCTGTTCCACCACTTGCTTGTGTTTTTTAACTTGAGGCTGTCTGACTCTACACCCAAGGAAGGCTCTGTCTGCTAATTCTGTACTGGCTGTGACCCCGGAAACTTCCTGCCCATATGAAAGTGTTGTCACTGCCCCATTCCCACTGACCTGGAAAGGCATCTAAGTGTGTTGTCATAACTCACTCATTTGCCTGTGCTTTTAGAAATGAGAATTCCAAACCAATTTAGGTCTGAGGAAATAAAAAATGTCTCAGTGTGAAATATTTGGGGCCTATGCACTTAGGACTTCTTGAATAACCTGGGAGTTGAAGAACTGAGACATCTTCCAGGCTCTGTCCCTTAATAATTATGTGCTTTTGGGCAGTTCCCTCAATCTCTACCTCAATTTCCTGTAAAATTAACCATCATCCCTTCCCACTTACTTTACACGGTGATCGAGCGCATCAAAGTATTTTATAAATGTTAAGAGTTGTGTGTCTAGCCTAGCATTGCTTCCAGTTTGCCGACGACAACTGTATGTTTTTAATCAGGACATGGCATGTGTTTCTCTCATGCTTAATTTCAGAGACCAGGGCACTGGGAGTCATTGCAAAATGTGAGAGGCAAAGGTCAAAGTTTGTGGCTCTTGTCTTTAAAATGCAGAAGCTGTGGAAACACATCAAACACAAGTATGAGAACAAGGAGTAGTTCCTCGGAGGCCCCCATCCAGGCCAGAAGGACCCACCAGCTGTTTGCCCAGCGCTCGGGCCTCAGCTTGAAGATGATGATCAAGTTACTTTGCACGGACCACCTTTAGCTGTTGGCAAGAAGTGGCTTCACCTAACAAACAGACTCTTTAACTTATGCTGTGTTTGAAGTATGTTTATTCAGAGTCATCAGCAAATAAATGTAAATTGTCCTTGAGACCTGCTTCTGCATTGCATCCTTTGTTAACTACCTGATCTTCACTGTCAGTTATTTGAGACTACTTCAAAGCCCTCTGCAAACACCTGAAGGGCAGACTTTGCTATTTTGAGTTTTCCATTAACTTCCAAAGAATTCTGGTTTTCAAAATATGAGCCAGAGTTGGAGATGTTACCTTCAACTTTGGCTTCTAAGCCAATAATTCCATTCTTAAATCACACAGAGGAGAGCTGACTTGGCATGAGGAGGCACTGTGGTCTCAGCTGGGGGAAAATCCCTGGCTTGGGGGTCTTGAGCCACTCCCCACCCCAGGGTCTAGTCTCCATTCTGCCTTCACTTAGTGGTTTTTGGTAAGCTGCCATCTCTCTCCTGCTAGAGTTCCACTCTTATGAGTTTGGTTTATAAGGTGCTTCCTTGGTGGGTTTGAATCCTGACTCTACCAGTTCTAGCTATGTGGACCAAGGACAAGGCACTTGACCTTGCTGAACTTCAGTTTCCTTATCTGTAAAATGGGGACAATAGAAGGATTTCTACTGCATGGGGTTTTTGTGAGTATTAAAGGAGTTGTAATGCAGTTAGCACAGTCACAGATCCTGGCACGTGGCAGAAACTGCTGACAGGGAGACATGGATGCTAAGGACCCAGAAAACCAGATGATTCTGCTGGAAGGCTGGCGCAGTAGGAATGTGAAAAAGAGGAGTTTGAGGAGCGTAGTCTGGTCATTCATTCAACAAACATTTGGGTGGCCACTGTGGTTGAGGCATTGAGCTAGCAGGGCACTCGATGGTAAAATAGCATGTGGGGCCTGAACTGCCGTGGGGGAGACACTGTTAATGCCATCCTGTGTGGTTACGGACTGGGCCAGGGACTCAAGAACAGAGCAAGGAAAGGAAATAACCAGGAGTGTGGAGGGAAGCCACAGAAGAGCTGAGACCTGAAGGTGATAAAGAGGACTGGATTATTCAGGACCTGGTGAGGCACAGTGAATACTCAGGATTTCACCAAAATTATAGAGAGCAGATATTGAAAATTTCTTCAGCAGGGGAGCAACGAGCTCTGTCTTATGTTAGAAAAATCTCACTCCAGCGGCTGTGGGGCAATTAGATTGGAAAGCGGGTGGGAGCGACAGCACAGAGACTAACTAGGAGGCTGATGCCAGGCTCCTGGTTAGTGCTAATGGCTGTAAGAAACCTTGGAAACTGCAGCCTGGCTGGGAACGGCAGTGGAGAGCTGGGAAGTGCTGAGCAGGCATAGAGCAGTCCTGTTTTGTGGCTGAGGAGCTTCCTGGCCTGGGTAGGTAAGTGACTCACCCACCTGCCATCTTTTGCCTGTACCCTGAGATGATTTATCCAGAGTTGGATGATCCAGAATCTTCTCTGATGGGGGAACATTCAGGTCAGGAAACACATTCAGAGGTAGGAGAGACCCTAGAAATTGCCCTATTTGTCCTACCCGAGGCATATCTTCATGAAGATGAAGTCAAGGCCTAGAAAAATTATGAGCTGCCAAAGGTGGTAAAGCTCCAGGTGTCAAATCAAGACCTGAACCAAAGTAGAGGCTATTCTAAGACTCAAAGAATGGTTTCAGCATCATGTAGAGGATGACTCTGGGGGTTGAAGGTTGCCACTTCTATGACATTTTCCCCAGCGATTTGAGAGCAATGTGCTGGTAAACAATAAAGCAGAGAACATTCCCACAGAGTTACTCTACAGTGCGTGATGACAAGCTCAGGACGCAGGGGCAGAATGTGCTCATTTGATCACCTGCCTCAGGTGGGGCACATTCCCAGACTCAGCCCGACCAGCAAGCATATCTATCCATAAGCTAGTCTGCGGTTAAGATGCCCTGTTGTTTATCAGCATTTCTGGGCTGTTGTAGTTGTTGTTGTGTGTGTGTGTGAGATTCAATAAAAGCTGAATATTAAAATAATAGTAAATATAATTTTACCTATTGCACTGAATTGAATGGTGTCCCTCCAAAAGTCACGTCCACCTAGAACCTCAAAATGGGAGCTTATTTGGAAATAGGGTCTTTGCAGATATAATTAGTTAAGATGAGGTCATCCTATTGGGGTAGGCCCCAAATCCAATGGCCGGTGTCCATATAAGAAGGCCTGGGCAACATAGCAAGACCTTGTCTCTACAAAAAAATAAAAAAATTAGCTGGGCATGGTGGTGCACACCTGTAGTCCCAGCTCCTCAGAAGGCTGAGATGGGAGGATCCCTTGAGCCCAGGAGTTGGAAGTTGCAGTGAGCTATGATCATGTCACTGTACTCCAGCCTGGGTGACAGAGCAAGGCCCTGTCTCTAAAAAAAATAAGTAAGAAGGTCATGTAAGGACATGCAAGGATGAAAGCCTTGTAAAGATAGAGACAGAGATTGGAGTTATGCTGTCACGGGCCAACAAATACCAAAGATTGTCAGTAACCACCAAAAGCAAGGAAAGAGACAAGGAAGGATTCTTCCCTGGAGACTTCAGAGAGGGAGTATGGTCTTGCTGAAATCTTGATTTTGGACATCTAGCCTCCAGAACTGTGAGAGAATAAATTACTGTTGTTCAGCCACCCAGTTTGCAGTAATCCATTATGGTAG